AATGACCTTTTCAGAGGGGTTGCCTAAGACCATCAAAATATCAAATATTTATATTATGATTCGTAACAGTCTCAAAATTACAGTTATGAAGTAGCAACCAAAATAATTTCATGATTGAGGGTCGCCACAACATGATGATTTTTGTTAAAGTGTCACAGAATTAGGGAGGTTGAAAGCCACTGTCCTAGAACCTAGCTTTCCCAGCCCTGGGACCTGGACCAGTTTGCATCACTAGACATTAACTTTTTCATGTGGAGCAGCCACATGAAAATTCAGGTTCAATTAGAAAGCAGTTAGTTACCTCCAGTAACTGCCATGTGAGTATTTTATCAACAGACATTTCCTATAGCATGCAGGGTCCTTAGATGGTAAGTCCATCTTTTCCCCAGTGGCACGGTAGCACTTTCTAGCACTATAAAAGCTAGCCCGTGGAGAGGAAGTTTGTAATGACCTTGTACTTCTGATCTTCCTGTTCCACCTTCCGAGGGCTGGGATTAGAGGCCCGCAGCACCACACCCAGTTTGTGTGATACCAGGTCTCCTGCACACCGAGCAAACACTCTATTTAGCGGAACTACACTCAGTCCGCAGCCATTTCATTTCGTCTGTGTGTGTGTGTTTATTTTCTGTTCAACGTGCAGCAATTTATTTCCTGTGTGTCCCATTCATTTTTTTATTCCCTTTACTTTTCCTGCTTTGTTTCAGAATGCACACACACACACACACACACACACACACACACACACACACACACAAGAGTTCCATTTTAGGGGCTTTGGTGTAGCTCAGCGGTGCAGCATTTGTCTAGCATTCCATTTTATTTCTACTTTTGGCTGTTAGCTCTGCTTCGTCTATTGATGTAAGATTTACATTTGTTGTTGTTGTTGTGTTTTGTTTTGTTTTTGAGATAGGGTTTCTCTGTGTAGACAGGGTTTCTCTCTTTGGCTGTCCTGGAACTCACTCTGCAGACCAGGTTGGCTTCGAACTCAGAGATCCTCTTGAGTGCTGGGATTAAAGAAAGGTGTGCCACCACCACCCGACTTGCTTCAGTCTTGGGTTCAAATAACCGTAAGCGTCTCTTTCTTTCTTAAAACCTTGTCTTTAGCAGGGTGGTGGTGGCACATAGCCTCACGCACATGTAGTCCCACTTAGCTTCAGCTGTCAGCCTGTCACAGAGTCACCTGAGGGAGTTTCAGCTGAGTGATTGCCTACTCCAGACTGACAGGTGTTCATGTCTGTGGGAGATCATCCTGAGTGATAATTGATGTAGGAAGTCCCAGGCCATCGTGGGCGGTACTGTTAGTATTCTGACCCACCCCTTGGGGCCCTGTCTGGTGTCCTCCTGACGCCATCCTACATTCCCTTTAAGACGAAGACACCTCCCCCTTTTGCTCTTCCTTCCCCGCCGTGAGGTGTGGACACCTCCCCTTTTGCTCCCTTCTCTCTTCCTCTCTCCCCCTTTCCCTGTCTTTCTCTCTATCTTCCTAATAAACTCTCTCCACATGGATGCAGTACCTGGGGTGTGAGTATCTGCCCACCATGTTCTCCTCACCTGCAGGACACCTGGGCCCGGTCAGCCAGGGCCTCCCGCGCTGTATCATAACAGGTACCGTTCCTAGGCAAGTAGATGTGGACTGCACAGGAGAGCAGCTGAGCACGAGCCAGTAAACATGCTCCTGCATGGTTTCTGCTCCAGGCCCCTACCTGAAGTCCCTGTCTTCACTTCCCTCAGTGTTACAGTGTTGCCATGAAGTGTAAGCCAAATAAACCTTTTCCTCCTCAATTGCCTTCAGGAGGAATGCCAGCCATTTTCATGAAACTCAGAACTGATCTTGGAAGATGCTGGCTAAAGTTTCCGAGTTAGGCCAGCACTGTGGTCTATAGCTTTTCTCAGAAGCCTCTAGTAGACACAAGCTCCGGTTGCCTATGCCAAGGCCTCATTCTTTGGTATCTCCCATGTTTGTTTTCTTCTTTTTCCCTGTATTATTTATTCATGTATCCCCAGACCTTCCTGGGATTGCCTTTTACACAAATTCTTCACACCCATAGGTTCCTTTCAGGGTCTCCTTCTTGGAAAAACATCCCAAGTCATTAACTGTGACCAAAATGATAGCACATGAATGGGTGAAATTTGGGGGGAAATGCAGCAATAAAAGATGACTTAAAAAATGTAGTTAATGTTAATAATAAGAAGATAAACAATGTATGTGATAAATGTTTTCTGTAATGTCTATTAACTGGGAATATACAGTACGGTGAAGTTGACTCTGACTCATAATTTTCTGTGTGAATAGCACATTACAGCAGAATGGCTACAACTGCCATGTAGCTGAAGTTTTATTTAGTCCTGTCTGGCCAACAGTCAGGACAAATCTCTCTCACCTTCCAGTTCCGCAGCAGCTCAGACCCAACCAAGTAAACACACAGAGACTTATATTGCTTACAAACTGTATGGCCGTGGCAGGCTTCTTGTTATCTAGTTCTTATATCTCAAATTAACCCATTTCTATTAGTCTATAAGTTGCCACGTGGCTCATGGCTTACTGGTACCTTATATCTCGCTTGTCATGCTGGCGGCTGGCAGCATCTCCTTGACTCAACCTTCCTGTTCCCAGAATTCTCTCTCCTTGTCCCGCCTATACTTTCTGCCTGGCTACTGGCCAATCAATGTTTTATTTATTAACCAATCAGAGCAACACATTTAACATACAGAACATCCCACAGCACTGCCATGCCATCATCCACATGTTCCTTTATGTCTCATTTCACCCATTTGTATCTCCTCTCTCCTTTGAGTATAGTGTTTGGAACTTTATTTCTCATATTGTATGATCGTCTTCCTTCTTTTCCCTGAATCTCTGGATCTGGAAAAGCTGCTTTTATTTTGTTGTTCTTCAGTGATGTTTCCAGCCTGCTTGCTAGCTAGCTTGCCTTTCTCTCCTGGAAATGCAGCAAATCTAATGATCATCATTCTTTTCCTATCCCTGACATTGCCACCCCTGACTTGTAGATTCCTGAAGAGGTTAAATTTCATGTGCTGACCAAGCTTCCTTCTCAGAATCATTGAACTCTTTCTGAGAATCTGTAAATCCAATTTTAAAAAAGGACTTAGTTTTGTGTGTTTGGATGTTTTGCCTGCATTCATGTCTGGGTACCATGTGCATGCAGTGCCTGCAAGGGCTAGAAGAGGGCGTCAGATCCTCCTGAACTGGAGTTACAGGTGGTTGTGAACCTTTGGAATCCAACTCAGCAGTCAGAGCTATTAACTCCTGAGCCATCTCTCCAGCCCTTACCTTTTCTTTCTTGATTCCTCATCTCAGTTCTTTCTCAACACCTTTTTTGCTATCTCCTTTTAAAGGTAGATGTTTCCTACTGTTCTTGACTCAGCTGTCCTACCCCATTTTGCAGGGAACAGGGGTATGAACAGGAGTGATGTAGGGCAGGATTCCACCACCTAAGCCTCAAGGCTGTTAACAAGGCAACCCGCTACAGAGCAGCCAGCCCAGCCTTTCACTTATCTATTTCCTTCTCTTCCTGGGAGCTTTCGCATTTTAAATGAGTACCATTATCGTGATCAGTCTGAAGACAGATCTGAGTGTTTGTCAGACACACCAAAGCTAACAGAATTCTAATGGCCTTGTCAAACATTTCCCCAATACTACCTATAGAAAAATTGTTATTAAAGTTTAATGATTTACTTTAGTGTTTTATCAAGTACATATAATGTTCAATTCTTTTTCTCCACTGTATTCATTGTTTAACCACAAAAGCTTACTCACCTGTTCTAACAAAAATGCCCTTCATTCCTCCTTTCTCTCCCTCCTTTTTTTAACTCAACAAATATTTGTTGTGCACAACTACTTTCCAAGCTCAGTTCTGAGTGCTGGTGTGATATCCATAAAACATCAACTCTAGATGTCCTGTCCTCGTGGAGCCTACATTAGAGAGAGGTTAGTGCAGACACACAATGAACACTAGGGATAATGAATGAGTAAATTAGTACCCTAAAAGCTAGGAAGAATAAAAATAATACATATGGGAAAGCACAGGAATATGGTTTCCAGCCTTAGCGTGTGTGTGTGGGAGCAGGTTGTAAAGAATAGAGGTTGGTCAGGGAGCGTGCGCAGCAGATTGAGAGCCTCATGAACAGAGGGGGCCTCCAATGCAAAGTTCCTGTGCTTGACTCATCAGAGAGTAAATTAACCTCAGCATAGCTATTCTGCCAGGACTAACAGATTCTCCAGTGCCTCCGTGCCCGTGCATGTCACTCATAAGGCACTTTGATGGAGAAAGCAAGGAATGGATAATGTATTTAAACATATACTTCTGGGTAAGCAAGATGGCTCAGTGAGTAAGAGTGCTTGCTGCCCAGTGACCTGAGTTCAGACCCTGGAATCCACATGGTGGAAGGAGAGAACCACCTCCTGAAAGTTCTCCTCTGACCTACACAGGAGCACTGTTGTGAACACACACACAGACAGTCAATCAATGGAAATTTTTAAAAAGAAAAAATACCTCTGGTTAACATAGAATGCATTTTTATTATTTTAGATGTCTGGATTCCTAATACACACCAGCAGAGACAGCACAGATACACTGGGTAACATATGATAGCAAAGCGACTTACACCAAAACACATTAAATATTTAAAATGGGAAAACATGAAAAGCCAACATTTTGTTCAATGTGAAAAGAAATTGAGAAGTCTTACTTAGCAGCAGGTATACACAGAGATGGAAAGAGATATCAGAACCCTCCACACACATGCACACAAGCTAACTTATGTTTTTAATCTTTATAGATCCACTTATTTTTTAGATATATTTATTTTATGTGTATGTGTATTTTATCGGCATGTATGTCTGTGCCATACTTGCATGCCGTGCTCAAAGAGGCCAGAAGAGGGCGTAGGATTCTCCAGGGACTGAAGTTACAGATGGTTGGGAGCAATCGTGTGGGTGCTGGGAATCTGAGCCGGGTCCTCTGGAAGAGCAGCCAGTGCTCTTAACATCTGAGCCGTCTCTCCAGCCTCATATATTCCCTTTTGAAGTAGAGGAACCCTGGGCTTTTCATTTTCGTAGAAATGACTTACAGCATAGTCTGTGCTGTTTACAAACAGCAGAATGTCATTATCATATTCCAAAAACATAGACAAACATTCAGACACCATTAAACAATATTTTTTATTTGTTAAGGCAAGTGCTTCTAAGAGGCTCATGTTGGAGAAACTGAGTAGCACCAACTTAAAACAAATGTTTTATTAGGGATATGGAAATGGTTTAGAGGTTGAGTCGTGTGTACTGCTCTTACAGAGGATCTGAGTTTGGTTCCCGGACTCACGTCAGGGGGCTCACAACACAGCTTTCTGTAACTGCAGCTCCAGGGGATCCACTGCTCTCTTCTGGCCGTCTCAGGCACCAGCACACATGAGGCGGACACGCATAGATGCACGTATACATGAATAAAACCAAAAATAAAATCTTTTTAAAAATCCAGTGTTCTGACAATGCTCCTGTGATTTACTCAACCATGACAGGTGGTGCTCCCACGTTTGTGACTTCTCTTTTTGAGCTAAATGTCATTCTCTGTGTGTGTGTCTGCCGTGTGTGTGTGTGTGTGTGTGTGTGTGTGTGTGTGTGTGTGTGTGCATATGTGCACAAAGCCGTTCCTTTCTGAGAGACCCTGGAGGGAATAAAACCTGGAACTGTGAAGCTTTTGGTATATGATGCTCTTATAGATGAATTCCTGTTACCATCTAACACTCACCACAGGGCCAGCAAGTTGACTCAGCAGGCAAGGGCATTTGCTGCCAAGCCTGATGACCAGGTTCAAGCCCCAGAACCCACATGATGGAAGGAGAGAACTGACGTCTGAAAGTTGACCTCTGACCCGCGCATGTGCACAATGGTACATGTGCACTCCTCTCCCCAACACATGCACATAATAGATATAATGGTAATAACTTCCCCCTCCCCCCAAGAGAAGCTGGCCTCTATGTCTCCTCACTCCTGTCTCCTCACTCCTCTCTGTTCCTGCTGTTTTTCTTCTGGTCCTTGAGTTGCCACGTGTGCTACGTGGCCGTTACCTCCCATCAGACACTGAGTCACTGAGCACAACATCCCTGGCCTCTGTCTTGTCACCTACTAAGTCCACGTTCTTCTGCTACAGAAGCCGAGTCATCACCGGCCCTGTCGGTGTCTCATGCGTGTGATTCCTTGTGTAAGCCCTGCTCAGAAATGGTTGTCTTTTCTCTCAATCTGCCTTTGGCCAGTGTAGCTAGAAGGTTTCTCTGGTCCCTTGTGGCTCCGTGGTCCCACCCAGCCCTGCAGTCCCACAGCTGCTTATACAATAATCATTCAGAGGCTTAATGTTATTTACAAACTGTATGGCCTATGGCAGGCTTCTTGCTAGCTAGCTCTTTTTGTCTGTTTTTTGTTTGTTTGTTTGTTTGTTTGTTTTGTTTTGTTTTTTGTTTTTCAAGACAGGGGTTCTCTGCATAGTTTTGGTGCCTGTCCTGGATCTACTCTGTAAACCAGGCTGGCCTCAAACTCACAGAGATCCGCCTGCCTTTGCCTCCCAAGTGCTGCGATTAAAGGTGTGCACCACCACTGCCCAGCACTAGCTAGCTCTTATAGTTTAACTCAACCCATAACTATTAATCTATGTATTGCCATGTGTTCCGTAGCTTTACTTGCATCCTATTACATGTTGTTCCTAGGATGGCAGTCTAACGTCTCCCCCATTCTGCCTTTTACTTTCCTGTCTCTCCCTTTGGATTTCTCACCTACCTCTAAGCTGCCTTGCCATAGGCCAAAGCAGCTTATTTATTAACCAATGGGAACAACATATATTCACAGCATACAGAAAGATATCCCCCATCAGGCCATCCCAATTTGTGAGCCTCTGCTGGGGACCCTGGAAGATAGTAACAACAACAACAACCAAAGAAACCATTTCTCTTCCTCATATCATAATGCCAACACTGGTTGTTATTGTATAAACTACCAGTTGAAGATGATCGTGTTGTCTCTTACATTTTTATTTATTTGTTTTTTTTGTTCATAGATACATGTGTATGCCTGCTTATCTGTATGTGCACCACATGCGTGCAGGTGCCCCTAGAAGACAGAAGAGAGGTCATTGAATCCTCTGGAGCTGGAGTTACAGGAGGTTGTGGGTGCTGGGAACCAAACTCAGGTCCTCTGGAAGAGCAGCCAGTGCTCTTAACAGCTGAGCCATGTCTCTAGACATCAAGAGTTTGTTTGTCTTGCTCAGCTCCACAGCTCTAAGACTTAGAAGAGTGCTTAGTAAGCAACCTGAGGCTCAAAAGATACTTTTTTCTTTTTCTTTTTCT